ATCAGCCCCATGCTTAACTCAGAAGTGTTCCCCCTGGCAGGACATAGTCAGAGTGAGCCTGTGTGGGATGCCTGTGCATGAGGTCTGCTGCTGTCCAGCCTTCCAGACAAAGCTTGGGAAAGCCAAGGTGCTGAGCTGACCTTGGGCTGGGCCTCAGCTGAAATCCCAGCTGAAAAGTTTCCATGAGGGATTTGCCATGAATTGGGGCGTAGGCTGGATGGTTCCAGTGGCTCTGAAAGGAAAAGGTGTCATCAGGATCCCAAGCTGCTGCTCGGGCAGCTCAGAGTTGCTGCCCAGGCCCTGTGCATCCCCCAGAGCAGAGGACAGGCTGGCCCCAGGGGTGTCAGGGTAGGCTGGTGTCCAGGAGGACACAAGGCAGGGAGCTGGATGAGGCACGTGGAGCCAGTTCACCCCAAAGGCTGGGAGGTGAGCTGGGAGGGACGTGGGCAAGCAGAGAGCCTGGCCACACTTCCATGAAGGAAGGGTTGGATGAGATGAACAGCTTTGCAGGGTGGATTTCTTCCAGGCAAGCAGCCCTCCCTGCTGGGGGGACTCCTCCTCCTCCTCCTCCTCCTCCGTGTGGGCTGGGCTGGAGCAGCTCCTGGGAACGTAACCATCTCTCTGCTCTTCCTCCTCCTCCTCCTCTTGCCACTGGCATTTCTGGATGGGGCACTCCACAGCTCTGCACCCCTGCCTTCTGCTACGAGGGGCTCCTCCAATGGGTACCTTTTACACTCAAACCTTTGCCCCCTCCTCTGTTCCTCTGCCTGTGCCCAGGAGCCAAGCAAAGTCCCAGCAGAGACTCTCAGGGGGACCAGCTCCCTCAGACCTGGCCTGACCCACCTGCCCTGCAGGAGCCCCACCCAAAGCAACCCCCTGAGGCTTCATCCAAAAGAGGGGTGCCAGCCTGAGGAGTCCAAGCACTGGGGTTTAAGCCCTTCTTGAAACAGGAGGTGAAGAACCAGCCCTGCCCTAGCTGAGCCAGGACAGTGGCCCAGTTGTACCCTCCAACTGGGAGATGTTTCCAGCCACTGTTTTGACTGGGCTGGTCTGTGGTGACTGTCACTCATCTCTCTTCCAACCCTGTGCCAATGTCAGTGTTGGACTAAACCATCTCCAGAGCTCCCTTCCACCCCTATTCCCTCTGGCTCATCTTCATCCAAACCATCCTGGCTGCCAGCAGACCCCACAGGTCTCTTCATGGACGTCTCCTCCATCCAGGCTGCTGTGTCTGGGCTGAGAGCTGTGTCTGGGAATTGCTTGCTCCCCATTACCCCCCTGACCCCTCCCTGCTCCTGCCTCATCCCCAGGACTCACGGCTCAATTCTGGCCCATCTGAGGGAAGGTTTAATGCTCTGACATTCAGCTGAGACCCAGGAGAAGGGCTGCAAAAAACCCCAGGAGAGCAGCAGGGATTGAGAAGGACGTAGGGGTGGTTGGTGCTAGAGGAAGCCAGGTGCACACTGTTGGCTTTCACAGGATCATAGAATCATTTTAGTTGGAAGAGACCTTCAGGATCACCAAGTCCAACCATTAACCCAGCCCTGCCAGGTCCCCACTGCCCCGTGTCCCTCACCCCACATCCCCACGGCTTGGAAACCCCTCCAGGGGTGGGGACTCCACCCCTGCCCTGGGCAGCCTGGCACAGCCCTGGGCAACCCTCCAGGGCAAGAAATTGTTCCTCAGGGGCAACTGAAACCTCCCCTGGGGCAACTGGAGGCCCTTTCCTCTTGGCCTGGCCCTTGTCCCTTGGGAGCAGAGCCCGACCCCCCCCTGGCTCCAGGCTCCTGTCAGGAGCTGTGCAGAGCCAGAAGGTCTCCCCTGAGCCTCCTTTGCTCCAGGCTCCTGTCAGGAGCTGCCTGTTGGATGACCAACAGCCCTTCCTACATCTGGGGGCAATGCCAACCCTCTGTCCCCTGGTGCTGCCCCCACTAACCTGCTGATTTTCAGGAGCTGGTCACAGCATCTCACTCTGTCCAGTTGTATCTCACTAATGAAGCCCCTGCTGCTGCTTCACCCCCTCTCCTCACCCCTCTCAGGGGAGGTGGTGTGACCATCTCACCGTGCTCCTGGCAGGGCACAGGGGCAGTTCCACCTCCTCCTTCCTGAAAGAGGCTGAGCCTTGGTGGAAGGCAGATCCCCCTCAGCACAGAAGCACGGGGTGGAATCACAGCATGGGTTGGGTTGGATGGACCTTAAAGATCTTCTAGTCCCAACCCACTCTGCTGTGGGCAGGGACACTTTCCACTAGATCCACTCGTTCCCTTGGAAAGGCTCAGGGGTCACTCTCAGCAGTAGGTGTTGGATCTTTTCCAGGCTTAGATGAAAGACAGAAGAAGAGTTTGCAAGTGCCCTCACCCCCCAGCCCCCATCTGCCCCTCTCCAGCTCTCCTGGACTTCAGGGAGGAGCTGAATCTTGCAGAGAGGAGGCTGGGGGGAGGGGAGGGGGGGCTGTGGGGTGACCTGACGTGTCCTTGGCCTCTCTGCTCCCCCAGGCTGCAGACTCAGACCTGCCCTACCCGCCCCCCCAGCGGGAGCCCAACGTCTACATGGTGCCCCAGGGCATCAAACCCGTCCTGCAGCGCACGGCCATCGAGGTGAGCAGGGCAGCTCCTCAGAGGGGGCTCTGAGAGGGGAGGGGGCAGACCCAGAAACGGGATCCCAGCCAGGCCCCGTGGGGAGAGTCCCACCAGGGACTGGGAGCTGGTACCCTGCTGGGAGTCCCAGCCCTGGGCCATGCTGGCTCCTGAGGACAGTTGTCCTCACAGCAGGGTGATACCTGCCCAGAGCAGAGAAGCTCCATTGATAGATGGGTTGTGGAATTGGTGAATTGGTGCATACAGAGGGACACTTCTTGTACTAACTGGCTCCTCCCAGCACCAGTTGTCCCACGTGGTTGATCCATCTCTCCTCCATGGTGGGCCAACCTTCAGGATTATGTCCGTTGCTGGGAAGCTCAGTGAGAGATATGGAGGCAGACCTTTGGCTCAGTCTTTGCTGTCTGTTCCCCTCAACGTTTAGATCCTGGCCTGGGGGCTGAGGAACCTCAAGAGCTACCAGCTGGCCAGCGTCACCTCGCCCAGCCTGCTGGTGGAGTGTGGGGACCAGCTGGTGCAGTCCAGTGTCATCAAGAACGTCAAGAAGAACCCCAACTTTGACGTCTGCGTGCTCTTCATGGAAGTGGTGAGGACCTGGACCCCACCCTGCAGGGATGGGCTCGTAGCAGAGCTGGCTGGGAAGCTCTTTTGGATGTGGTTGAGGCCCCATCCCTGGGGGTCTTTAAGGCCAGGCTGGAGGAGGCTCTGGGCAGCCTGATCTAGTGGGAGGTGTCCCTGCTCATGGCAGAGGGGTTGGAACTGGGGGATCCTTGTGGTCCCTTCCAACCCTGACAGATTCTGATCTGTTTTAGCAGAGGACTTTGGAGCCCTAATGGCTCAATGGTTGGACTTGATGACCTTGGAGGTCCCTTCCAACCTGAAGGATTCTATGATTCTATGATCACATTAAAACACACCCTACGGTGAAGCTCCTTCTGTCCTGCTGAGCTTTGCTTCCTCTGGAGGAGACTCCTCCCTCCCTGCCCGGGGTGGTTACGTGGCTCCTCCCCTCTCCCCACAGCGTCTGCCCAAGGAGAGCCTCTACAGCCCCCCCATCATCATCAAGATCATCGACAACAGGCCCTTTGGGCGGAGGCCCGTGGTGGGCCAGTGCAGCGTGCGCTCGCTGGAGGACTTCTACTGTGACCCCTACCGAGAGGAGGACGGGCCCCAGGAGCCCTCGGGTAGGTCCCACTCCTGGCTGCACGCCTGGCCCCTCTCCAGGAGGAGCTGTGGGTCACTGTCGGGTTGCTTTTACCTCACTCCAGCTGGAGGTCTGATACCAAAAGCCCAGGAGGTGCCAAGGAGGAGTTTAGCCCTAGGGTTGGTGGGTGGGGATGGATCGTCCCTTGGCCAAGCTGCCCAACCTGCATGGACCTGAGCTCTGGGGGGTGGGAAGGCTCTGGGCAAGGCTGGGGGTGCTGCTGGAGGTCGGTGCCCAGGTGGCAGCTGGGTGTCCTGGTCACCCTGGTGGCTGCTGTGCTTGCAGATGACGTGAGCCTGACGCCCAGGGACGACGTCCTCATCGACATCGATGACAAGGAGCCTCTCATCCCTGCCCAGGTAGGGGGGCAGACACCCCTTCCTTCCTTTGCACCCCAAGGTTGGGGTGGAGGGGGATGGAGACGAGAGGTCACGTCTGGCTGTGACCTCCCTTTGGCAGCTTCCACCTCCCTTGTCCCCTCTGCCCTCCAGCACGGCAGAGAACAGCCACAGCTCCCTCCTGCTCCCCTGTGTGACAGGAGGTGCCAGCTTTGCTCAGCTGGGGCAGAGACAAGAGACTCTGCCCGTGCCAGGGACTCCTCGTTGGCATCTCTGTCTCAGACACGTGGTTTGGGCTGAGGCTGAAGGTTCGTGGTCATCCTCTCAGGGCTTTGCTGGGAAGTGAAGGTTCCCTGAGGCTCTCACGGGGCTCCCCACGGGGCCAGGGCTCTGTGCCCCCAGTTTGCTCGTTGGCTGCAGGTTGTTTTGCTGCTTCCAAACCCCCCAGCTGCTTCCAGAGCTCCAGTGACTCTCTGGAGGGTCCCGGTGGGGACGGGGACCGTGGGACAGCCCATGGTGGTGGGATTTGGATGTGCTGCAGCAGGGAAGGAGGGATGTGCTGTTGCTGGTGTAGAAACCAAACTTCTCTGTGCCATGAGCTTGAGGGGTCTCAGCTGTTCCATGGAGATGGGCCGGGCTGGACCTGCCCCTGGGCTTCCTCCTTCCTGGAGCTCAGCTGGAAGGTGTCTGGCCACGCTGGGGACAGGGGCCCTGCTGGTGCTTCTGGTTTCCATAGCCCTTGGGTTCCTTTGCCAGCAGATGTGTCTCCTTTGAGGCAGAGACCTGCAGATGTTAATGTGTGTGTGTGAGTCACGAAGCTGTAGATGACCTGATGGTGTCAGAGGCATTTGGGGGAGCTTCTCGTGGTCCCCCCCTGGCACTCCTCTGGGGTGTTTAACCTGTGCTGGCCTTTCACAGAATGATGGGATCCCAGCCTGCTTTGGGTGGGAAGGGACCTTTCAAGGTTATCTAGTCCAGCCCCCTGCAGGGAGCAGGGACATCTTTAACTCCTTCCTCCCTGGTTTAAAGGCTGTGGGTGCTGCTTGGTTCCATGGGTGAGACAAGTCTGAGCGTTGGGTAGGTCACCCTCTCAGGTGGGGTTCCTGCCCTGCCTCCCACTCAGCAAGGTGTGTCCTTTGGGAACCAATTCTTCTGCTCTTCATTCACCTCATTGGTGGCACCTCAGTGTTTCTGTTCTTTATCTGCTGATCTGTGTCATCAGACAGCAGCAGGCGTGGGCTCAGGTGGGGTCTGAGCATCAGACTGCCCCTGGAGATTCTGGGGCTGCAGCTGCACCTCTAGTACTGAGCACTGGGGAGGCCAAACCTCCAATCCTGGGGGCAGGTTTGGGCCCCTCCCTCCCAGCAGGACCTGGAGGGGCTGGAGCGTGGGCAGAGAAGGGCAACGGAGCTGCTGGGGAAGGGTCTAGAGCCCAAGTGTGGGGAGGAGCAGCTGAGGGAGCTGGGGGTGCTGAGCCTGGAGCAAAGGAGGCTCAGGGGAGACCTTCTGGCTCTGCACAGCTCCTGACAGGAGCCTGGAGCCAGGGGGGGGTCGGGCTCTGCTCCCAAGGGACAAGGGCCAGGCCAAGAGGAAAGGGCCTCCAGTTGCCCCAGGGGAGGTTTCAGTTGCCCCTGAGGAACAATTTCTTGCCCTGGAGGGCTGTGGAGGCCTGTGCCAGGCTGCCCAGGGCAGTGGTGGAGTCCCCACCCCTGGAGGGGTTTCCAAGCCGTGGAGATGTGGGGTGAGGGACACGGGGCAGTGGGGACCTGGCAGGGCTGGGGGAGGGTTGGATGTGAATGATCCTCAAGGTCTTTTCCAACCCAAACCATTGGCCTTTTGGGGACCAGAGCTGTGGCTGGGTGACACCAGGGACCTGCTGTGTCTGGTGCTGCACACCAGCATCCATGGGTTGACCTGGGGCCTGCAGAAGTCCCAGAGGAAGGAGACAGATGTTTGCAGCTGGAGAGACCCCAGCTCTGCCATAAATACCTTGTTCCCTGGGCAGTTCAGAGCACCTAAAAATTGGGATCAGACCCATGGGGTGGTTTAAACAAGAGCTGAGAGGATGAGGAGGGGAGAGGGACATGGCAGAGCCCAAACACTGCTGCAGCCACCATGGAGGAGAAGACTTGGACATTTCTTTACTGAAACAAGCCCTTCACAAAAAAACCACTCTGATGAATTGAATTATTGTTTGACCCCAGATTAATTCTTCTCTCTTTGCTTGTTTATCTTTTATCCTTTATTTGGGGAGCGGAGGAGGAGGAGGAGGGAGCTTCTTAGGGAAAGCCAAACCAGAATTCCCACCATCTCCCTCCCTAACCTCTCAGTTTTGGCCCTGAACGCTGTTCCTCCCGTGTCCACCCTCTCCTTGGTGGTGGACGTGGGCTGGGGTGACTTTTGCTTAGGTGGTCTGACACCCTGCAGCCATCGGGGTCCCCCTGGGGCCAGGCTTGGAGGGGTCCTGGTCTGCAGAGCCCAGCCCACTCTGTCTCCTTGGGAAGGGTGATGGGTCCCAGGCCAGGAGCTCCTGCCTGGGGCCACAGTCTCCACACCACGTGCTGTTCCAGGGGTGAGCTGGGGAGCAGGAGCCAGGGGTTGTTCCTGCCCGGGAGTGTGTGCAGGGGTGTGTTTGGTTGTGTGTCTCCAGAGCCTTTCCCCATCCTTGCCAGCCCTGGCTTGGGTCCCTCCTCTGATGGATGGCTAGAACAAAGGGTCACTTTGTTGTCCTCATCCCAAGCAGAGCAAACAAGCAGGCGTGGAACCCCCTCTGCTCTGAGGCTGTTGAGTGTGTTCTCCATCTCCTCCAAGCAGGGTGAGAAGTTCAGCCCGAGGGCTGTTCAGAACAAGTCCATGTGCACATGAGCTGGGAACACCCTGGATACCAAACGTGAAGAAATGACACTCCTAAAACCCACAGAAAAGCCATTTTTTTCTGTGGCAAGGTCTCCTGGGCTAAGCACCTTCTGCTTTGCTTCTCTGGGAGGGGTTTGCAAGGGCTGAGGACATGCCAGTGGCTGCTGGGTCAGCCCCTGCTCCTGCCTGCTCTGCACCCTGTTGTCCAGGCTCTTTCCTGGCTCCTCATCCCCATGGGGAGCAGATCAGGAAGGACAACCACGAGGTCCACCTGCAGCCCCAAGGGAGGAGCAGATGTTGAGGAAACAGTCCCAGAGGGGCTGCCCCCCACGGGGCTCCAAGAGCTGCCTGGGTCTCCTCGAGGTGACTGAGCCTGGGGGAATCCTCCCCCCAGGAAGCAGCTGGAAGTTCAGGGTTTGCAGACCCAGGGTCTGATGCAGGTCTGGTTTGGTGGGGTCCAAGCATTGTGCTAAAGGCCCAGGCCAGGCTGGAGGAGCATGGCCTGATGCTCAAACCCAGCTGTTTGCTGGTGAGAACATCTCATTCCTCCCCCTTCTCCATCTGGAAGGAAACACCCCTGGAGGGACAGAAGCAGAGCTGCCCTTCCAGGGCAGGGGCAGGTGACACAGCTCTTGAGTTGCCAAGGACAAGCTGTTGTTCTTCTCAGTGTTTCCTTTGATCCAGCCCTTGGTCCTGAGCTCTCCTAAATCCCTTCCTGTTGCAACCCCCCTGGGACAGATCCCACCTTGGCCCTTGTGGCGAGCTTGGGTCGCTGTGTCTTTCACAAGCCCCCCCGAGGAGGAGCTGCTGTCCTGCTCTGAGGAACATCAACAGCTTCTCTGTAACCCAAATCCTGCTCTCCTTGCAGGGAGAGCTCCCCCTGCTCACCCTGGGGAGGGGAGGGCAGCACTGGTGGGGGTCTCTCGGTCCGTTTCTCCTCGGTGCTGCTTTTGCTGATGTCTGTGGACCGTTGTTGCTCTAACCCCAGGGCTAACCAATCCTTTTAATTTGTAGCTTGCAGAGGGCCTGACCAGCTCAGCACTAATTAACACCCCAGCTCCTTGGGCCCAGCCTCATGTAGGTATTGCTTCGTTTCTAACTTACGTGCTGGGTGAGTGGTTTTGGTGAGTGATGTGTGTGTGGAGATGGAGCTTTGAAGATCTGCAGAAATCCAGACGTCTCCTCCTGTGCAAGGTCCTGTCCTGGAGAAAGGTCCAACTCCATCGTGCTGTGGGTGGGGGGTGCCTGTCAGCAACCATCTTCCCTTCCCACCAAAGACAACGAGGTTGGTGTTGGGAGAAGGGGGGAGAAGGTTCTTCCCTCTTGCCCGTGAGGAGCCAGCAGAACTACGTCAGTGCCCGAGGTTGGGTGTCCTCCTGACAGCCTCTGGCTGGTAGCTCAGTGGAGATGGTGTGTCCTGGGTGGCTGCAAGGGCGTGGTTGGGGATGTGAGGGGACTTCTGTGCTCCTCCATGTCCCAGCTCAGGGACCATGCCAGGCCCAAGGCATCCTGGTGGTGTAAGCTGAACGAGGAGGGTGTTGGCCTTCCATGGGAGGAGGGTTTCACCCCAAGGAAGGTCTCATCTCATCTCATCTCATCTCATCTCATCTCATCTCATCTCATCTCATCTCAATCTCATCCACAGGACTTTGCACAATCCTGCTTTATGCAAGTGCAGAGCCTGGTGCCCTCCAAGGGTGGAGAGGAAGGAGATGCCAGGCTGCACCCAGGCAGTGGCAGGTCCCTCCTTGCAAAGTGTATCCTCCTCCCCTTGTCCATTTTTCATAAAAAAACCCAGATGTTGGGGTGTTTCTAGGTTTTTTTGAAGGGCAGTGAAGCTGCTTTGCTTTCTCAGAGGATTAATTCTTCTCCATGCTCCAAAATCCTCCATAGCAGGGTTGTGACCTGGGGGCTCTTCACCCCTCTTAGATCCCTCCTGATATTGGTCCATGAATTACAGGGTATGGGCTGTCCCTGCATGGTCCTCCTGCATGTTTCAGGCCAGAATTAGTTGTGTTGCTTTCCAGTCATAGAATGGTCTGGTTGGAAAGGACCTTGAAGGTGGGCTTGTCCAGCCTGGAGGAGAAGGCTCCTGTGCTGGGGGAATGGTTGGGCTCAATGAGCTTAAAGGTCCTTTCCAACCCAAACCATTCCATGACCCTGTAGGATGCAGACACTGGCACTAAACTGTGGCCCCTGAAGGTCTCCCCTGAGCCTCCGCTGCTCCAGGCTCAGCACCCCCAGCTCCCTCAGCTGCTCCTCCCCACACTTGGGCTCTAGACCCTTCCCCAGCAGCTCCGTTGCCCTTCTCTGCCCACGCTCCAGCCCCTCCAGGTCCTGCTGGGAGGGAGGGGCCCAAACCTGCCCCCAGGATTGGAGGTTTGGCCTCCCCAGTGCCCAGCCCAGGGGGATGATCCTGTCCTGCTCCTGCTGGCTGCACCAGTGCTGGCCCAAGCCAGGATGAACTGTTCTGCAGTTATTTGTTGGCCCGTGTGCTCTCTTTGGATGAGGAGCTTGGGTGGTGCTGGGACACAAACCAGAAGCACAACCCCCATCCCAGAACCCCCAAACCTTCCAGGCACATCCTTAAGCAGAGCCCAAGTGCAGCCCTCACATCCTCCCTGTATCTCAGGCTGCCAGGACCATGCTGGGATACGAATTGCTCCATCCCACCACCCAGATGGCCAGAACCTGCTCCTGCCCTCAGCTGCTGAGAGCTTCTCCTTGTGAGCTCTACCTCACCCTCCCGTGAGGAATCCTCTCTGCTGGCAGGTCCAGCTCTGTGGTGCTGTGGCTGCAACAGCTGCACTGGGGCTGGAGGCACCCCCAAAACACCTCGAAGTCAGGGAGTGAGGAGCTGCTGATGAAGTTCCTGGTGTCTCCACCCCCTCTGCAGGCCAGAGACCCCCCAGCCCAGGCCATGCTGTAGGGATGGTGCCCAGGGCAGAACCTCACCTCTGCCAGCTATGGGGGGTGCTGCTGCTGTTGGTGGTTGGGATCTGCCCGGGGAGATGTGTGACTTTGGTGTCCCCACCCCAGGAAGAAGAGTTCATTGACTGGTGGAGCAAGTTCTACGCTTCCACGGGAGAGAGGGAGAAGTGTGGCTGCTATTTGGAGAAGGGCTTTGACACCTTGAAGGTGAGTGACCTCAGCTGGCTCTGCCTCCTTGGACCTGCCCTCTCCATGGTGTTTCTCCACAGGATTTTGATTTTTTTTGGAGTGTTTGGGCTGTTTTTTCTTCTGGGAAAACAAAAATAGATAATCTTCCCCAGATTATTTTTTTTTCAGATACTTTTATTTTCACAACAACTCTTCTGAAAACTCCTGAGGGAAACATCCCCAGCAGAAAGGTCTCTATGGCTGATGAGGAAGGTGAAGGTCTCTGTGAGACCTTGGCTTAGTCTGGGTCATCTGTGATGTGCTGCTGTTCACTGTAGGGTTGCCCAAGGGCTGGTTTCATCCCTCTCCTGGGTGGGACAAGTGTGACAGGTCCTAGGACTCATACCTGGGGGTGGCTTGTTGCTGGGACCAGGACCTCGGGTCAAGTCTTGTCCCAGGTTGCTGGGGAGGTGCTGCAGGTCCCCTTCTGCCCGGGGGCAGTCCCTGCCCTCACCCCCCATCTCTCCCTCCCCAGGTCTATGAGACTGAGCTGGAGAAGGTGGAGGACTTCGAGCACCTCTCTGACTTCTGCCACACCTTCAAGCTGTTCCGCGGGCGGTCGCAGGACGCGGCCGACGACCCCTCTGTGGTGGGGGAGTTCAAGGTGGGAGGGTCTCCTCTTTGGGCCTGGGCACACGTGCTGCTGGGTGGGATGATGCCAAATGACTCTTTTTTGGGAGAGCAGCCCTGAGG